AAAATGACGCTTACGTTATTTTGGCGGTTAGGGCTCGATATTATAGAAAAATGCTTAGAAATATTATTTAACATAAAAATTCGATATCTACTTAACACACTTAATTTTTATTGTCAAAAATCACTTTTTAATATTTGCCTTAATAGATACCAGAGAGCTGCATGGATACACTCAAATTACATTTTAAGTCACTCGCTTTCTTTTCACATCTGCACACACTCGCACTCATTTATTTCCAAACATGCGATAGCATTGAAAAAACATTGTTAATTGAGTGAGTGATTCACACTATCAAGTGCTCGATTCAAATAGCAAGTGCTTGATTCAAATAACAAGTGCTTGATTGGAAAAACAAGTGCATGCCATAACTGTTGTAATGAAAGTATCAAAGAAAAACAATTTGTAAAGACAAGTTTTGTTAATTTTATTGCTTTTCTAACGGCAAATTATAATGCAAAAATATCAACTGATTAAGGGTATCATCATTTGACAAAAAGTGGCATCTTTTGTCAGAAATAACATTTCCAGCAGAAGAAAAAACCCTTTCTGACGATGCGCTAGTTGAAGGAGTGGCTATTACTCTACGACTGAGTTTATGCAGCAGCGGCATTTCGCATTTGTGTACCTCCCACCAGTTAATTATATCGAAGTCCGTTAGAAAATATACCTCAATATTTTCATATCGCCGAAGCTCTGCAGTAGCTTTATCAGTTCTGCTCACAAAGGTAGGTTGTTTAAAAAGACCTGAAAACAGCTCAAAGTTGTCTGAAGGTAACAAAAGTGTATCCGCAATTTATGGTTTCGTTGTACTGTCAGAATTCTCAGTTAACGTTCTCATAATTTGAAAACATTTCTCTTTTGTGAACCTTTGCTCAGATTCGGTAAAATTCTTCGGCTATTTTGCTAGCGGGTATAAAAAAAGCGCAATTTTGTGCAAATCTGTTAAGTTAATAACCGCAACAGTTTTTAAATAATAAAGCAACTAATTTTTCAAGTCTCTTATAAAGCCGATGTCTTCTGAGCTGACAGTGCATTTCTTTTGTAGACTAGTTATATAAATGTACATCAGGTGGATAATTAAATAATTTAATAAACCTAATATATTTAAAAAAATACTTCATCAATATCTGTCGTATTCTCTACTAATTGTTTCAAGTCATTCGATTGCTCGACTTGCTTTTCATAACAGTGTTTTTCATTCGCTTGACTTGATTTGGAAAGAGTATATCAATGCGATATTTGAAATCAAATGAGTACACTGCAGCTAAACATTTATTTAAAACTAACTATGAATCTCACTGTTCGTACGGTGTTTCTCACTACCCGTATAGAGTTCACAGCATTGAGTTCATACTATTTAGATGGAAGTGAGTATACTCATGCTGTTGTCTGATAGATACCTACGAAAGTATATACATATGTACGCACCGACAAACATAATTCTGCAATATCCAATCTCTACATTTCCATTAATCTTCAACCATACAAATCCCAAATGATTTATGCAAGCGCCCAACAGCGATAAAGGTGTGTAGAACACACAAAAAGTAAAGGAAATATCATTTAAATTATGCACACAGAACCTTCACCAACCACAGCGCAAAAACTCTCTCTCACACAATCGCATAGCATTTTAGAGAAAAAATCTATGTGTATGAAAAAAATCTAGTATAAATGCCGGTAAACAAACAAAGAAAATAAAAGAATGCAATAGAGGGACGAAAGAGCAAACAAAAAACTTCATAAAATGCAAAAACATAGGCAAAGCATTGAAGTCGAGAAATTGCAAAATGTACTTCATACATACATATGAATGTATGTATAGGGTGATTCAAGTGCGATGCAGATCTTTGACAGCAATTACACTAATAGGAACGCTGAAATTATACAAAAAACGTCCGGACACGTAAACTTATGGTGACTTCGTTTCTTCCAAAAAATTTTGAAGTACATTTTTTGTTAGAAACAAAATCACCATTAATTTTGGGTTGTGGATTACGTATCTGTTTAACGTTTTTCGAGATCTGGTAATTTTCACAAAGGTATTTTTAATTAGGTTTGCATTATGAATAAAAATATAAAACTTTAAAATGGAAAATGTTACTCATGCATAATGTGACCAACCGTGCCTCTTTCGGAAGTACAGTACTTTTTTTTCGCTCTTATACTTCGTACTTCGAAGTACAGTCAAATGTACTTCTTTGCGATATTTTGTACATCAGTAGGGAGATTTTTTAATCAGTTAGCGACAATTTTTGGATCGCTATTGCACTTTTTTACGCATGATACCAATGTTTTTGCGTCAAAAAGTGTGACAGCGACTCGAAAATTGTCGCTTATTGGTTTCAGAATCTCCCTCCAGGTCATGTACTTCTCCGATCTTCTGTACGATCGTCACATGGCCTTGGGGATAAATTCGTTCAAACCATTAAAGTCGCCGAGGAGCGATGGTATCCTACCTGCGCAGCTGCAAAGGGCTCTGAAGAAGTCGTGCAATTGGTTGGATTCTATTTATGCGAACTGCGTGAGGACCGGGTACATCCCCAAGGTTTGAATAGTCAGTGTTGCGTTCATCCCAAAGGCCCCTAAAAAGTTTTCATGTTTCCCCTAGTGATTTTAGGCCCATTAGTCTGTCTACGTTTTTGCTAAACAAGCTAGAGAGACTGATAGACCTGGACATAAGAAACGTGACTCCTCGTGACTGTTTTTCAAGAGCTCAATATGCTTATTACAAGGAAAGGTCGGTGGATACCGCCCTGCGCACATTAGTAAAGTGGTCAGAGGAAGTCTTTCACGCATAAATTTATGCAGTAGGGGCCTTCTACAATGTCAATCTAGAAGCAATAGTCAAGTATATTCATAATCTAGGGGTTGAAACCAACCTAATAAAGCTTATCTACAGCTTACTTCGTGAGAAACTGTCGGGGGGAGTGAGGGAGCACCTGCACCCAGAGCGGAGTCAATGGGGGCGTTCCGCAGTGTGGTGTTTTTTCTCTCCGGCTCTGGATTACCTACCTACCTGAACTACCTTCTAGAGGAACTGTAAAAAGTGGGCTTGCGGCTGATCGCCTACGTAGATGATGTGGAACTTTTAGTTAAGGAACGTCGCTGATGATCTGGCATTCTACGCACCCCTTTTAATCTAGCCCAAGGTTACCTGAACCAGCTAACTAGGTGGACGATCAAAGGCGGCCTCGCAGTAAATCCCATCAAGACGGAACTGGTGTTGCTTACCAAGAAGTACAAGACACCCGTTGTGGCCATTCCCTCGAGTGGGGTTATTTATCTGCGACTCTAAGACAGGGTCGAATACTTAGGCTTGATCCTGGATAGGACGCTGGTTTGGAAACCTAACAGTGCGGAAAGGATAAGAAAGGCGTCGGTTGCCGTGTACTGCTGTACGGGAGTTATCGGTAATTCTCTCGCCCAAAGTAATTCATTAGCTCCATGAAACCAGATTTAAGTCTATCTTATTTCACGGAGCCCTCGTTTGCTGTAACATTGCTTTTTTTCTCATAAAAATTAAAATATCTAGGAAAAGTGACCTGACCTAAAACAAAGTTAAGTTTATAAATACAGTAAGTGAAAGCAAATATTTATGCATAAAAATAACAAAACAACTTCAAGTTGATACTAACACCAAACTAAAGGCTTTCTTTTCATAATATATCACTCAATCACTAGAAAACCATCCTAACTAAAAAAAACATAATTTTCTAGGAAAGTTTTGATTTATTGCCACCTTACAAAAAAATTGATTGCTTATATTTTCTAAATTTATCATTATGCCACCGTAGTAACGCCGCCTGGTGTCTACGAAAACTAGCGCCGAAGGAACAACGGAAAACCGCAAAAAGTTTGAGTACTTCATCGGAGCCCAAAATCGCCGAATACGTGCTTTGATCAGGAACGGTATGGAACCTACCAAAGCGAAGGAGATGGAGAGAGAGCGCTACAAAAAGGTTAAGGGACTATGAGCCAACAATGCGACGAAAGAGTACCTAGCTCCTCAAAGCGAAGCAGGAGCACCAGCTGCTGGTCCAAGAACCTTGGACAGATAGCCAAGAAGTGCCGAATTTGGGCACTGAAAATCTATATGCCAGTCAAGAGAAATCAAAAATTAGTCACTTTTTGGAGTGGCTTTTGGGCTAGCAGGCAAATCGGAGGAGAAGCTCAGCCAAACTATACAATATTCTGTAAGCGCCCGTCTATGTATGCCATCGGACCATATATCGTTCAAAATGATGCCGGTAACGCTGCTGCGGTGCACGGTCAACGTTATCGTGGCATGATAACAATTTTTGTGTACGTAATTAGATATTAATAACTTGGACAATATGTGCATATCTCACGAAAAAGCAAAGTCATATGGCCAACGAAATCTAGCGATTTGAGACGATGGGAGTTCCCTTACTACTGGGGCTACTTTAAAAGTACGGCTATGCCAATGAGCTCGAGATGATTCAAGAGCGCATACGCGCTATAAATAATGTACAGCCGAAAAATATTGATATGCGCGCTCTGTGTTGCCAGAGAAGTCATGGTGGACATTTAACGGATACTGAATGTACTAAAAACATGACGATAAAAGCAAAATTATTTCTACAAATTTTGTTTTATTTTATTCAATGTAGTAAATTTGCGGTCACATTGAGTCATCCTGTATAGTATATGAATACTTATGTATGTAGATCTATCTCTGATTTTGTGAGGTTGCTGTTTGTGTAGTGTTTTAATTACTGCTATAGACGCTTGAATAAAGAAAGCACGCATAAAAACTTTATGTGTTCTTGTTTATGTATGAAGTGTGTATATATGTATGTTTGTATAGATCTATACCGTGCTAATCCCACTTGAATCGTATAAAAGAGTTTTGTCATAAAATATTTGTTGGTAACAACAAGTCGTTGCTTCTTCTTCCTCTAGCTTTTATGTATTTTCTGCTCACTTTCACCTAAATTTTTTTTTTCTTCTCTTCTTCTCCTTCTATCCATTAATAGGGTTGCGTTGCCGTGCTGAGCTTAACATGGATCATCAGTTTGACGGTATTTGGTTTTCTGGTACTACCAAAAGGTAAGCGAAAATTTCTAAAGAATTTAACAAAAAACTTTGCATTTGAAAAGCGTCACCAGCTAATGACTTAGGCGATTACGTGTGAAGGAAAAACTTCATTTTACGAGCTTATGTATAAGCTGAATTTTGTACTTTCTTTGTATTCTGGTATATAAAGTTGAACATATGCATGTAGTTATATATTAGATCAAAAAATGTATTCGTTAAAGAGCTTAAACTTGTGATAGTGGACGCTGTTTATTAGAGTACAGAAAAAATCATTGAGATGCTAACGCAGGGAGGACGAGTGCTTTATTTGGTCAGTGATAACCCCACAAACCCAGCCTAAGTCGGAGGAGTTTCGATGAGGGAAGGACCCTGCGTCTTCCACTATCCAATCTAGGGTAGATGTGTTTAGCCGCTCTACCAAGCCGCATTTACGGGATGCTAGCGTTAGTCTCACATCTGAAAAGGTTTTTATGGAAGAAGGGGATATGCCTATATTTGGCAATTCGTCTTCGGCGACCCTACTATATGAAAAAAAGCTAAAGAGTCAGTATTTAGAACTATTTTTTATTCTTCATTCGTAAAGAAAACTTTTATTCCACTCTCGTTTGCCCTGGCTCCTACAATAGCTAAGATGTTCTGTATTAGTTCACTTACAAGTTGAGAATATTTCACTACTACAATCATTGGAAGATCTTTGATACGTTGGATCAATGCAATTTAGTATATAGTGGACTTCTGGGAGTGCAGTTAGTCTTTTTATGGGCCTGTTTAATGCCCTCGTGAAAAGTATGAAAGTCATTACGGCCACTCAAGAGAAGCGATGGACGAAGAAAGTAAAGGTGACGGTGAACTATATATTGAATCGGCGAAATCAACAACAAAGCGAAATTCTTTTACTTCATGCATAAATGAAAACTAGAATGTTGCGACCAAAGCAATCTTCTTTAAATTTTCTTATCGCTCTTACAACATCCAGCCAGACCTTTAAGGTGATAGTTTATAGTGAAGATAAGTGCGAAAAGCGGTAATGGATCTTGAAGGCCAGAAACTCAACCTCAAGTGTGAGTAAGCTTTTGTCAACCGTGAGACCAATCTAATTCCACAGGTTGGAAATCACATTCTGACATTGCGCCTCACTGGAGCCGAAAAAATCCGCTAGCTATTTTAGAACGCAGTTCACACTGCATCATTCCGTGGATATGGTCATACGTATTTAAGGCTACACGATCTACAAATCCCAGTCTGCCTGTCACAAACGATCCATTTCATCAGATTCGCAAAAGCATCTAGAGCACTTTGAACAGCCCAGCCTAGCATTTCATCTTTATCGAATGAAGGGACGTTAGCTGTACCTTGGTCTGGGTTCTTCTCTGGTCTGATTAATAAATGATATATCCATTTCCCAAATATAATCTGGGTGTCTATTATTAGATTACCATCTTTTCCGTTGCAGGAACTATCATCTGCCTAGAGACGGTTTGACTGCTGCCCTATTTCCTGATAAAAATTTCGAGCCGTGGTCGAGTGGTATTTTTTTTTAATTTCGAGTCCCATACCTGCATGCAAGCACCTGTTCTACCGGTATCACTCAAATGTATCTCGCGTCACTATTGTCTGCTTCATAAATTGGCGATATGCTGAATATCGTTGTCGTCATCGTCGTCGATCGTTAGCCATTTTACACTTTTACTTACTATGGCGATATTCAGCATAAGTCCGAATATTTTTATACTACTAATTAGATACTAATGTATGTTCCGTACCGCGGGGAGGTCGATCAGCCCCTCTCTGCTGTCAGAGAAGTTGTCATGAAAGCTGAATTATACAACTCTTTTCCCAAATATGTCTTCTTTCGTTAGAATTTATCTTCTGCTTCATCGTCTTTCTCCTCTGTCGTAGCTTTCGCACGCACTTGGCCACTATTTATAAATTTAGTTTTGATGTGGACCTCAGAAATTCGATGTAGGTGTCCCAGCCTCTGCTCAACTAAAAAATCCCTTACCAAACTCATGCGCCGTCTCATCATAGCTGTAATAGTAGATATTCCATGCTGCATACTTGTTAAAACTGCCCGCAGTTCGCCGCCTTTCCGACACTGCGTTAATATAAGCCTTGCATATTGGGAGGATGTCCAGGTCTCGGACAAAAGTACATTCCCTATACATGGAAAGTTCACACATTCCAGGTGTAAATATATCCATAAATTATATCCTTACTTCTTATGCGGAAATCCTCAGCGTGGTGTGGTGAAATTATTCGAGTATCCTTTGACCTCAACAAGGGTCATTGTTTGTACCTACCCAAGTCCAGCGCAAAACCCATTGCTGAGAGGTAATCGCGTGGCATACTCATCTTTGATCTTTGCGCAATACTTTTGTAGAACATCTTACCGTTATAACTGCCAGTTAAGAGCCGAATGTAAGGCCTCGCTTTTTCATGTGCAAGGACATCAACTGACCGCTTATAACCCAGGAATATGTATCTATTGAACATAAGAACCAACACAACAACTAAGGTTGTTAAATTGTACACTTTTCCCTTATTTCACACAAAACACTCAATTAAGCTTAGAAAATCGTAAATTTTTCAATTTTCAAATTTACTGACATAATCTCATTATTTCCATTTATTTTCCTTCCTCTTTTTTTAATTTGGCAGGCTACTACTTCAACAACACCGGCCTAATGGCCTGTGAGCCATTCTACAGTAAACCCTCATATCGCATACTAGCCACCTGCGCACTCTACTTCCCCACCACCATGGTGCTCATGTATTGCTATGGCTCCAGTTTTCATATGAGCCGTTTCCGCTTAAACGATCCGACAATGCCACTAACAGCTGCGGCACATCATCCGCATCTCGGACATCCGCCGCATATGTTACAACAATCGATGCATGGCCATCACATGCATCATGGTGGTATGGCTGGTGGTGGCGGTATAAGTCATCATGGGCTACCACCCGGTACCACAACGCTGCCAAATACGCCAGTAATGAATCTCAGTATGGCAATGAGCATGGGCTTAGGCATGGCAGGGATGAGTGGTATGAGCGGAATGGGTGGCATGGGTGGCATGGGTGGAATGGGCGGTGGTGGTGCTAGCGCAGGGTATGGTGGCAATGGAAGCGGCAATGGCTCGGGAGGAGGAGTTGGAGGCAGTAGCGGTGGTCCAACGAATAATGTGACAAAGAAGGTGAGTATAAGTGCGAATGCGATTGAGTGGGAAGTGTTGAACTGAATTGCCACTGACTGAAAGAAGCGGCGCATTTGGCATGCACTGTAAGCTGGTACGTTGGATAAAACTGACCGCAATTAAAATGAGTGCTCAAAGCGAAAAGGCGTTCAATTCAGTAGCTAGCTTTGTTTGTTGCTTGTATGTATTTGGGTTGGCCTTTTGAAGTCTACTTGCTGGCGCTTTTACTTACTTGCAAACGGTTAATTTGGCCAACACACGCTTGCAACATGAATTTCGAAAGCATTTAGCCACCACTGCTCCTTTTCATAGATTTGGATCACAGATACATTTTAGAGTGCATCTATGTGTGTGTGTGGTTCATTAGATATCTTCTTTTTTGTTTGCTAGCTGCTGGCTAATTGAATGACCAACTTAGATATGAACGTACAATTGCAGCTAAGTCTCAAGCCTTTTTAATCACCTGCAGTTGCTCAGGCAGCTCAGCTAAATTAGTGAGCAAGCTGCGACTTGTTTGTGGTGGATTTCTTTTATACTTTTTCCTTTGCGAGTAATTAAGTATAATATATTTTTTTGTTTCTTTTTTCATTCTGCCTTTCCGCTTCCTAGATTGTGCCAATACAGGAAAAGCACTCAGCCGGCAACACTTCACGCTCCATGGCTGCCATTTCGTTGGGTTTCATTGTTATGGTCACACCTTGGACGATACAGGAGATTGTCACTGCCTGCACGGGTTCGAAGGTGAGTGGTATATACTTAGTAATGGAAAAAGAAATGGACGACGACATATGTATATATTATTTAAATATAATTTAAAAGCTTGGAACAGCCTTTTGATTTGATATTTAATTCGAAATATTTTTTTTTTTTTAATAAAAAATAAATACAATTTGAGTTTTTATAGTTGCCATATAATTTATATTATTTAAAAAAGAAGTATTTGAAATGAATAATACCTACTTTATGTGCAGAGTATAGAATACAATATCCCAGAAAACTTTTCAAGAACGCCCTACTTCATAATTTGATTGAAAAACGCCCTATCTCAGAATTTGGTTGAAGAGCGTCCTATCTCAGCTGCCGATTCAACTCATTTTCACACAAATCTTGCCCTCTCAATAAAAGTTTTGAGTTGTTCGAAGGCTTTTTTCAGTTTAAGGAAAACCCCCGAACAGCTTTTAAATTATAACCTATGTTATTTGGGAATGAACAGTATATCATATTTGATTGCAGTGAGTGAATGTTTGGCGATGAAACGTTTTCTACGAGTTTGGCCGAGCTTCTCCTCCAATTCAAGTGCATATTCTTGATGTTGTGACACAAATGGAGAAGTACCCTCGGAAGTTTACCATTGTCTGGCGAGGGGCGACCGCTACTTTAAAAAGCTTTTTTGATGTTGCTGGAACCAGTTATTGAACCATGAGCCTCCCGAGTGGCAGTAGGCAGATCTAAGCACTCGGCTATGGCGGCAAGAGCTTTTGATCTAAACCAAGCTTTGAACATATTTTTCTTTGCTCTTGTTTAAATAAAATTTGCATGTCCTGTTAATGGTTTTATTGTGATTTTTGTTCATAACGTACGGCCTTATTCTGTATCACGAACGACAGCCAACACGAACGATCGTCTGCAAAGGAATGCTTCAAAAATTTGTCCGGTGGCATCATTTTAGCCGAGTTAAACGCAACCGAGACCACTGCAACGTAATGTATGAAAAGCAAGACGAAGACGACCGATAGAGTTTAAAATCGCAATCAGAGAGGTTGTCGTCTGCAGACGAATCGTTCGTTTTACGTATCGTAAATAAATAAATAAATAAAATAAACGTGGTTTATGTATCCGCTTTTTCTTAATTTGAAAATCGCGAACCGGTTTTTCCCCAATTTGCAATTTTTCGAATAACTCGAACACCGGTTTTGGAAAAAAGGCGAATAATCGAACACCCTATACTGTACCCGACACTGTACAGACAGGCCAGAAAAGGCATTCATGGCAGACGTCAATCTCAAACCATACAAACTCCCGATCGGTGAATGCTGCATTTTGAAAGCTAACGAATACCGTTGACGAGACAGATCTTCAACTGCTTATCGCAGCTCCGCTCTGGACACCGAGGTCAGATTAAGTTCGTATCTGAGCGGACGAAATTCTGACATACCTAATGTATGTCCAGCATGCGGAGAGTCTCCGCATTATACTAAACAGCTCTTCATTGACCCGTAAAACCCAAATCAATTAACACCATTTTCCGTCTGGTATAATCCCGTCGTAGGGGCACGATTTCTGGGCGTTCCCAGGGCTAAGTCTCCGTCGTACTATTTAAGATTCCTTTTTATAGGTGGTATATTCCTCGCACTCTCGCGGGAGAAAATGCTTTTGCCCAAGGAATGTCGAGATATTTAAGAGTGTGTGACATTTAGGTATATTTCGAAGATTTGAAGAGTAGCAAGGGTTTTTCTCAGAACGAAAACAGGTTACAACAACACTTATGTACATTCCTAGTATTATACGCCTATAACCCTTATTTCGTTTATGTCGAGAGCCTTTGGGCAACTACACACTCTTCACTTTTGAGTGAAGCCAAGTGTACATTGTAGAGAAATACGAGACTTCGTCAAAAATCTCGCTATAAACTTCAAATGAAAGACAAGGCACCTAGTCCAGCTGTATATGCAGCAGACCATGGCGTGATTATCCCCAGTATACATATGTCCAAATACGATGAGCGGGTGAGCATTGAACGGGATTTAAAACTGGACAAAGAAATTGGAACTTAATGTGAGCTCCAATAAATCGGACTGAGTATTTTTGATAAAAAGAAGTCTGATGTCACCCCCTGCACTTGGAAAGCGTGGCACATGACGACACCGAAATATTTGGGTATATAATGGACACTAAACTGATGTGGAGATTAAATGGGGAGGAAAGAGTTAAGAAAGCCTTCAACGCATTATAGGCCAGGAAATAAATAAACAGTAAGATATGGAGTTTTTTTTTAGCAAATTGTACTTTATATCCCGACCCTGCCCTCTCCCATCATCCGGGTTCTACTTGCCGCAACCTAGAAGCTCTCTGTCCTTAACACCATGGGCTATTAGGGTCGTAGGTTTTTGGTCTATTTGCTTTGCGGTGGGCATTTTATATAGGGCGCAAAATGTTTGATTCCAGCTCGTTTGAAGTTGAAAGACTGGCTTAAGGGTTTTTCGAGTCATCCCCTTACTGAGTCCGCTAACAGCTCTCAAGGAGAATACTAGCTCCCTCAAGTACACACTTCATATTATACGCTACAGGATCGTGACCGATATTCTTCAGCAGTCTTGAAGGGGCGAAACTGTTTCACGCTGACAGTGGGTGGACTTCATTCTCAATCCATTAATCATCTTGAGTGGGCTTTGGCTACCAGTATCGTCCCTTCTAGGAACCGCTTTTCTCTCAGGGGGGTCGCTCTCGGCTGCCCTAATATATACTCGATTGTACAGGCAGAGCTCGGAATGTATTAGTTGAAAGAACAGTCGGTTACAGCAGAGCTCCATACTGCGGCAAGTCCAACGTTACTGCCGGAGATAGACAGGTATACGTATCCTCCTGTCTGCAAGCCATTCAATAACCACGGATACGCAAGCCATTCTTAATTAGGGGGAAATGTATATTCGACTACCCTAAATCTAGATCCATATTAAGTTGTGATAACAAGTCTACGATATAGAGTAAGCGATTATTCATAGTGCACTAGATCTTCAGCTCAGAAAAATAACATGACTTTCTGTAAATTTTGTACTCACAAATTTTAAAAAGTAAGCATTTTCATTTTTTTTTTTTTTCCTTTAAACGGTGTTTTCAGCTTTTCCTTTTTTCACAAAAGTTGACATCCCTTCAGTGCATTTTTACTGTCGCAAGTGCCGGATAACATTTTTATTGTGCTTCTTATGTTTTTTTTCATTCGCTATTTTTCTGTAAGTACGGATCTTCAGAAATTAATATATCTTTCTCTTCGGCCACAGCTACCGCCATTTTTGGATTTTCTGGTAACTTGGACCGCCTTAAGCAATAGTTTGTGGAATCCTTTTATGTACTGGCTGCTTAATTCGGATTTTCGACGGCTGAGTAGACATTTGATGCCGAATAGGGTAAGTAAAAGGCATAGCACAAATGCAAACACAAATGTACTTTTATATGCACATTAGGGCAGGAAATTTTGTATGAGGGATTTTTTCGGCTATGAGCGTATAGCACAGAAAGAAAGATTCTAGGTGTAATTCTAAGTACCTTTGCCGAAGAAATCCATCATTTGTCATAAATCATTTTAGGCTGTGCCAAATTTCGAAAATAAATAACATTCTTATTCTTAAAAATATTTCCAAAATCGTACCGATTTCAAATGGTACGAATTTCGGAATATGTCTGATAGATACCCAGTCCGACTTTGTAGAGTTTCCAGTCGGAATGCAGCCAACTCTTCCTGGCTTTATTTGAAAGACTTCGCCTCGACGCACTAAGTTCAGAGAGATTCATTCTACACAATTTCGGTGTGGCCTACTTAGGCCTACTTAGCACTCCAGAGGAGTTTTAATAAAGTCTCCTTGGCAGCATCACAGAAGCGACATAGGTTACTAGACCAGATATCTAAATTAAACAAGTGACCTCTTAACTTGTCAAAATACTTGTAATGATCCTTAGTTTCGAATTTATGAGGCCTATTGGTATCCTGTCCTGTATATTTTTAGATTGTACCCATCTAATAACCTTTTTGATTGGCAAAGTCCCATGGTATTGCGCCAATGCAGTTCCATTAGCCTGATGTTTTCCTTTCTCCGGTCCTATTGGGGTCGAGGCAGCAGCCAGTCTCACTAGATGTTCCGTGGTACCCATAGGTATTGTTCTCAGCCAGAGCGTTAAGCCTCTCCACACACTCCAGAATCACCGAGGATTTGATCTCGAAGGATGAGGGAACCTTGAGTGCCGCCTGACTATCGCTTGAAATTAGAATACTCTCGCTTCTCTCAATACTTCCTTTGAAGGTTAATATCAGCACACAGACTGATGGCAAAGACTTCCGCATGAAATATGCTGGTGAAGGTTCCCAGGGGCACCGAAAGCTAACGTAACGTCTAGGACCTATTACCTGACCACATTGGTAGAATTGATGATGTTTGGTGAGCTCTAATTGACTGCCATTACGGTGGTATGGCATGGTAAGGATAAGAAGCGAGTTCTGGTACTAGAACGAGGTACTTGAGCTCAATGAACTTCGGAACAAAAAACGTTTCCCCTCATGCTCTAGAGTCAGACTGTAAATTCCAAAGATAAGATAAAAAATGTAAAAAGGCGACCACTACCTTCAGTTTTTTTAATTGCCTAGCGAAAATGCTTTAGATATACCAATAGCACAATATAAAAAGTATACAAATCTGTACAAATGTACCAATCATGTGACACTACCTTAAGGTGTGCTACGAACTTTTTTCTGGTACGGTTTAATGTAGATATGTATGATATCGGCAACCAGGTCCTTAAAAAAATAAAAATTGTATCATCCTCTGCGAAGCCTCGCACCGCCTACCACATTACTACATAATTTGCTGCCAATTAACTAAGTATGCATAAGCGTTTGCAAATTTGCAAATTACGGCCGTAATCTATTCATCAATTATATGTCAATGGTTTTTATTTGTAATGCAGAGATGCGAATAAAATGTCTGTTAAATAGTAAATAAATAGTAAATTTATTGATTTTCACTGGCCACTCGGCCGCAAGTGACAGCTACATAAACCGAATAACAAAATTTGTAGGAAATTATTTAACAATTCAACAATTGACAAGCTGGTTTTGCGATGATTACACATGTTGTTATTATTATGGTGATAAAAACAGATTACATGCAAATGCATACATATTTACATATGTGCGAATTAATAATAAATTATATTTGCAATGAGCTGACAAGTATGCTGTTATAGCTGAACATATTTGTGAAAGTTGACCCGATACTTGGACTGTCAAAGGATAAACAGCCTTGATGTAATTTAAGAAGAAAACGAACATAACAAATTAAATAATTCAATTTAATAAATACAGAAAATTAAATAAAATAAAATATGCAAAATGCCATATTCCCAAACCGTTGCAGGCTGCGCGCCTATCGGTATGCAACAGATTCATACATTTACTTACAGTTGCCTATTTACTTTACTGCTGTCAAAAGGCAATAAATCAAAGATTTTCGTTGCCATCAATGAACTCAAATCGAGCGGCACTTAATTTATGCTTGATTGAGTAACTGAGGTTGTGTATGGCGTGTGAGTGCATGCGCAGGTAAAGGGGTGCCAAGTCAATTGAAGGAAAGGTGAGTGAGAGCTACAGAGTGAGGGAGTGAGGCAGATAGTAGGACAACCAGCAAAATAAGCACGTCCGCGCGTGTGAGAGTGCGAAAGTCAAAGCATTTATTGTTTATTTAATGAATGGCCAAGCAAAAAGCAATACATTTTCGCACAAACAACTCACACCCCCAACCCCCCACCCCCCTCCCTCCCTAAAGCAATGCTTTCATTTACTTTTGCGGACACATTGATTGCATTGTTGAAATCAATTCAGTATAGTATTTATTTGGTTTTAACGTGGCTTAATTAAGTCATTCACAAAGCGTGGCGAAGGCAATGGCCATCAATGCCAATACAATCAGATGATAAATACCCTGTAGGGAAAATCTCTATTTCTGAACAGGTGTGCTTCTAGTACATTTAAACCCAGTACTGGTTCGCGATAAATCTCTTTGTATGCAAACAATTGGCACCGGGTAGATCTGTCATAGTTTAACTTTGGTGAGCACAGAAAGTACAAAATGTTTTGATCTTCTCTCGGAGAGAAATATTAAACCTATGAACCAGTGATGACGAATCCGGTTTGAAGCGGCAGGACGACATAAACAAGTTGGGTTGATAAACCCGAATTATTCTTTTAGGATCGACTTGATAATGGTAAAATACTTTTCTAAAAAAAAATACAAAACGACTATATGGAGGCAGGTGGAAACAAGAGCGGAATAATCGCCACGCCCTCTACTCTTGTGGGCGGAAACATTAAATTTCATCCGAATTCGATGAAATTTAGTTTGTACTCTCTCTTTTATTAGAAAACTCTAAATATAAAATATGGGGAGGATTGGATCACAATAACGTCCAAAATTTACAAAAAAATGTCGGTCCAGTCAGTAAATGTTATGGAATTTTGGGTAATTTTATTTTTTATTTTTCCCCTCTCTCTTCTGCTTTCCAGTCTCAGAAAACAAAGATTACACTTTAAAATTACATATGTATGTAGGTGTAAATAGTTTCTTTTCTCCCAATGTTTGGTGAGATTTTTCCATTGTTCGAAAAATATTTGTTTGGAAATGTACCATTCGTTGAGAGCGGCGGTTGGTACATCGTGTTAAATTTTGTATTTATGACTTTTACTTTTCCTCTTTAGGCCCAACCGGTTTTCTTATCAACTCTCACCATGACTTTCCTCCCACCTGCCTCCATATAGTCGAAACACTGTGCGCCGAACGGTAATCAATTTTTCTTGAAGACCGTTACCGCGGTGTAACCGAAATATATCTGAGACAATTAAAAACTCAAAAAGTTAAATATAAGAAAATTTAAGGGGCAGCAAAGGGTTAAAAGCCCTCCAAAAAAGCGCACACTTCTCCGAACGGAGCACTATATTTCAGTATTATATACATTTTTACAATCAGCTGCCATCAGCCGCTACTTTGGCTTCTTCAGGAAATGTTTTCTACTAAGGCCGGTTCTAACCAAATTTGGGTGTTAAACCACTGCCATCATGAATAACTCTCCGATAGTCCATACGCAAGAACAGGCCAGAGTAAATATAATAACTATGAAGGCTCGTATTCCCCGTAGCATCAGAATTAATTCTCTGGTCATACATTGAAACCGAAACTGCTATCAGTTGAACTTACACTCAGCTCCCGGACTTGTGGCCATTGACTAGGGTTCTCGGGGTTGTCATGCCCGTAATTCGACTCATACCCTCCCGGCTAAGATCGACATGTCGTTTAGAGGTTTTTCTAGATAGAGTAATGAATCTCTTATTATTCGCGGCAACTAGAGGATCTTCTCACCAATTTACTTGGCAGCTCCTGCTATTTATCATTTAGACGCACATCAAAAAGTGTAAGTTATAATATGCTCCGTCACAGAGTGACCCTATTGAACATACCTAAAAGGTTTAATATGTATAGCTTTCAAGTTGTCCACAGGCCCCTTAATGTGATATTTAGTCCGCCGGAGTGAGTATTAATTGAGAGTTGCATCTATGTGAATCCAAGAAGTGCCCTCCGATCTCCCCTCGGCCAGAAAGACCTAGCAGTTTCACATGTTCTGGTTTTTCCCCCTATTCGCACTATCAACTACTGGGTGCCTTTCAAGATTTCCACTTGGCTATAAGAGTTAGTGCTTACATCCATTGCCAAAGTCGCTCAGTTGAGCAGCCGATTGATTTCTTCCTTATTTTCGGATACCTCAGTCAAGCTTCGACCTATCCGCCTAGTGGAGAAAGAGTTTATTAGTTCCAGGACATCCATGTAGCTATCCATATTATAAGCCGAAAAATTCGAATCCTTAAAATTTTTAAGAAAACATATTATGCATAGTGCCCAAATCTTGTGTCAGTTAAGCACCCAGTGGCTCTAAGGTTGGGCACTGCACTTGTAAGAGAAACCTTGTCCTATATCAAGCTTAGTGTTTCCCACTGCATTTCACCAGATGAAGACTCCCAAAAAAGTTATGGATTAAAATAGGCCAACGCCTCCATCTTCGAAAATAGTCCTTTGGGGTATCTAAAACTTCCAAGTGTACAAAACGGGTTTCGTTTTACTATATTTCACAGAAAGTCCACTGTTCATAGACCAATTAATTACCTGGTTCAGATATCCTTGGAGCATATCGTAGATAAAATCCGGCAGCCTATCTCCAGTGGGTGTGGTTAAACCAGATCTTTTAAAAATATTTTTAGTTAGCCTGATAGGAAGATATCAGAAGAGTGTTATAATGGGACGTGCTTCCTCCAAAAAGAACTGAGCACGTATTTATGGTTGCTCCTGAGGCTCGTTTTCAATGGAAAAACTCGACACCACTTATATTTCAGCTACCCTTCTCGTCCCTCAAAACACTCAAACGACCCGCGCCTGAATATGGAGGATTATACCTTTGAATAAGGCACACGAAGAGTGTCACTTCTTGACTTCGGACTAATTTTGTTTTTTAAAGTTCGCTATATGTAAGTACCTTAACCCTGAGATGCTAATTTTGATTATCTTAGCCGCATTGCTAGATAGAACTTCCGGTATTAACATTAAAGCGGGTCCCACCTCGTCATCTTGGCCCTTGTAGGCGAATATTAGGCATACTTTAAGGCACTTCATACAACGGGGTGTCAAGTAGGCTTTATATCTAGCTAGAAAAGGGCTTTACGAAGTTGAAATAAGAATAAAGAATCAGTGTTGAAGGAACTTCAATTGATTTTTCCCAGAATGATTGCTGGTTTGCAGAGTGCTAAGCATTGGCCTGGGAAATGTTAATGCCATTTTCTTTGCATCGCATATGCCTCGGAGCACCCTATTCGGAGTACCCTAAAACCTTTTATATTTCGACGGCTCGAGTGTTACTACTACGAACACAAACTCACAGATGTCGTTGAACTATTGTCTTTCAGAGAAAAAAACTTGTTTTCATTCCTGGCTCCTTTCATACTTCTCGGTTGCCAAATGGGCATGTCGTCCTACCGATATTTTGCGCAAACTAGCAAGCCACCCCTTTAAAGGACAAATTATATGATTCCGTAACGCTTTATTCGCTATACACAAATTAACACAAATTTCGCAAATGCGAATGTTTTTGAAGATACTCAACTCAACCCATTTTGACATTTTACATTTCGCATAGTTAAACCCCGCAAACCAACATAATATATACATACATGCATCTGTTGCTATATACACAAACAAAATACTTGCCTGAAAACTTGTAACTGCTTTTATACGCTTACACCATTTTCATACCATTTACATATCAATTTCACTCTACTATCGTTGCAGTGCTTTCCCACCGAGGACACGCCCGAACACAAATCACCCTGTTGTCACATCAATTCTGATTTCGAAATCACGACGTTGCCACTGCCGCCGGAACCGCCTACTGGACGACCGCCGAAGGGCGGCAATAACAGCGATGCTGGTGGCGATAACAACGGCAGCGAAGGCGGCAACAGCTCCAGTATAGGCGGTGGCAGTAGCAGCAGAGGTGGAGTTGGGCGCGGTGGCTCAGTGTTGGGTATCTGCGCGCGAGCACGCACCAACAGCCTCAGCCGTAGCGCTGCGCAGCAAGCACGCAAAAATGCCAACAGCGGCTGCAGCAACAGCAGTCATGGACATCATGGACACAGCCACCACGTCGGTGGCGGTGGGCTGACTTTCACCAGCGTACGGCCCGACATTGAGGGTCTCTCCGAAAAGTACTGGGGAGAAATACTCGAGCGCACTGTCAGTTCGGGCAGCTTACATGCGCTGACGAAAAGCTTTCCCCACGCAGCGCCGCATCACTACTATGCGCACCATCAAGTGTTGCCACATCAACAAGCGCTGCCGCCGCATACAGGGACAATGACGACGTCATTTAGCAAACATAGCGAACTGAATCTCAACTTGGCGCTCGCGGAACATGAACGCCATGCGGCAGCGCTACACGACGCGAACGGCGGTGCAAGCGGCGCGCTCAACGCCTATGAGCTCAGCAAATTCTCCAATTCAGAGCCAAAATTGTGCGAGCATATCTATCATGATGCCAACTGTGCCAAAAATAAATCAGCAGCGCTTGGCGGCGGTATCAGTGGGCTGGGTGGTGATGATGTCAAAATGTCAACTGGTGCGGCAGCGGCAGCGGCGTCGGCAACCGGACGTAGTATACCGGATATTTAGTACGCGGAGAATGTTATTTTAGCAAACAATCAAATGGCGCGCAACTGTGCGCGAGGCGCTGTCTGTGCAGCTGGAGGTATTGGGGGTGGTGTTGGTGGACGCTACAACAATTTAACCACAACGCGGGTAGCATGTCATAGTCCGCCTGTGCGCAGCATGTCCGTGCTAGTTGCCATGCCAATGGCCGAGTATCGGAAGTAGGCAAAAAGCAGTTGAAGAGACAAACGCGCGCGTTGACTGTAACGGCAACGGCAATGGCGGGAGCGCGGCGCGTTGCGGCGGTGATGACTGAGCCGGAAATGCAGCAAGCCAAAAATGAAGCACAAAATGAAAATACGCGCCAGCAATGGAGAGAGATAGAGCGCGCAAAGGGACAGCAAGACTGTAATGGCTGGACGGAAAAAGGCTGACCGAAAAGGTTAAAGCAAGTATAGTAGTACTTAGACGGGCGGCAGCGTGGCGCCTGTGATGTGGCTGCTATGAAAATTTTGAAAACTTTTTGGGCTGTAAGTATGTCCATGTAAATTTCGCAAGTGTTTGTAAGAGTATGCTTCGCTTTGTATAAGCACTATCAGTCGCGTGATAATACCTACTTTGCGTAAGTAATTTTACGCCACAACAGCAGGCGCAGTGGCCAGTGAGTGAGAGATGTGCAGGCGGCGCCATCCTGTTGACTTAATGCTCCAGCGCACTAATGCTCATTAATTGCTACACGGATGACAGATAGCCGCAGTTGTACTAAATATGGATTAAAGAGGAAATAAAGGCAGTAAAGATAGCAAATGTGGGGAAACAAATGGAAAATTAAAATATCTCACGAAAAATTGCCTAAAAGGATATATTTTGCTGGCGCGACGGGAAATACAGAGTAAGTTGTATATATACACAATACACATGTATGTATGTAAATCTGCTAGTAATATGTGCATACATATAAAAGTGTGCAAAATAATACCTTAAACTGTACGTTGTAAGCGTGTGTTGCCCAAACCACTACAGTTCCAGTAAATTTTATATGTAAATTATGCTAGAAAATCTGTGAAAATAGACCAAAACTAGTAACTGCTAGTTTAGAATAAGTAAATATGTATTTTCAGAAATATTCGTAAGATTAGCTTACGTGTGTATATAGTACGTATGTAACTTAGTTGACTTAAGTAAATACTATGGCTATAAGTAAATCTACGGTAAGGGTAGCTAAAGTTAATAGCGATAAATTAAATCCTTGGACTGAAAGGTACTTGGTTGTTTTTAAGTAATTCGACAATACTTTACAACAAAAACATTTTGAAGCTTTTAAACAAATTCACAACCAGTATGCTTAAGTTGCCCTAAACTTGACTCAAATCGATGTGAAAATATGAATGTTAACAGTTTTCTAGAATTTCTGGAAAATTCACTGAATATTATATAAATAAGGGCTAGCTTAACAATCATAGACTTAAAAATAAATTGAAACTAAACTAGAAATAAAATATAACAATACAACTAAGCTCATAATATGTATTTACACATGTGTGTATTTATCCGGCTGATGGTTGATTCTACTGAATGTATTAGAAGATAAGATATTGGGTCAAATTAAATGTCCCTGCCGATTTTTTTTCACTATTTGGTGTTGGTGAAGAGAAAGCAGGCTACTCAAAGAAGCTCGATGTTTGGGAGCCACATGAATTAATGCGAATAAATTTTACCTGGATGCTACGAATTGGAAAAGCTCCGTCTTCTGGGTACTTTTCTCTGGATGGCAGCGAGCGCGATTAATAAACCTGTCACGGTTTACTCTGACAATCAGTTTATTCACAGTGGTGGAAAGCACCAAAAAGCGTGCTGCTTATGTAAGAAGAACTGCTCACTGTTATATAAAACTATGTGTTAGCTGATTCTCTACCGATTACGCTTGCAATGGGCATGCTAATCAAAAATGATTTAGAGAAACAAGAAAATAGGGATTGGTATGAAATCCCCAGTTGACACATGTAAGGCCGTTCCTGCCTTGGATACGAAGGCAGCTTTGGTCACTCCACGATTTTAGATATATTGCCTGCATAAGGAACTCGCAAAGAGGCCAGCCATAAGACTAAACGCTCATAGCGTAAAAGCACTCTCTGCTAATTACAGTTTTACATGGACGCGCACAAAGTTAAAGCACTCTCTAATTGTACCAGGGTAAAAGCTCTCTCTGATCGTGCCATAGTAAAATCTCTCTCTGTCAAATCCTGCTAAAAAGCGATTAAAATAGTCCTGACCAAAATTTAACCCACGGGAGAAGCTTTTTAAAATTTTCCTTAGTTTTCGTATTTAAAGTAATATAAGTAAGAGCTCTCTCTCGTCTCTATCGGGTTTGGGTCATAGTTTTCTCATGAGCAAAGCTTTTTGAGCTTTTATACATTCTATATACAAAGACCAGTGTTAATCAGAGAGCGATTTTATCGCGTCCAGTTATATATGTAGGGTGTAAAAATATTAAAAATGCTTGACAAGCATACCTGTGCAGCAAACCATATCCCGCGGGAGAAGCTATTTACAATTTTCCTTATCTTTCATACAAATGTATGTGAAGTAGTAGGTATGAGTGAAAGCTCTCTCTAGTCTCCTCTGTATTAGGTGCATCGCCTTGAGCTTTTCAGCTTTATATATATTATGTATACAAAGACCAGTGTTGGCCAGAGAGAACTTTTATCGCGTCCAATCAAATAGAGTACAAAGAGATTAAAAATGCTTGACAAGCGTATCTGTATAAATACCATGCACGAACAAATCAAATCTAGCGGGAGAAGCTTTTTAAAATTTTCCTTATCTTTCAGGGCAGTGATGCTCAGAGAGAGCTTTTGCTTTGTGCGAGTCCATATAAAATCTACTGAAAGCTTTGAAAAGTCCCGCTTGTGTGCGATATTTTTGCGCATAGCAAATCTTTTTAAGCTTATTTTACATTCTGTATACAATATACCAATGTAAGCAAAAAAGGACTTTTATCGCAACCATTCATGACCAAACCATATTCCGCGAGGGAAGCTTGCAAGGCAAATCTGGCTCAGATAGTAAAAAGTCTTTCGTAAGGCCCTCTCATTCACCACTCGTGATGAAAATCTATTTTGAGACAAATTAATTGTATATCATTTATGTAGCTGGTGTCGCCCAACGGTCGCAATGGTCGAGTGAGCTGGGCTCAGGCGTGCTATTCATTTCTTCATTTAATGTTTTTCCTTTCATTAATTTACTTTTTATCTATTTTAATTTAATTTGTTTATAATTCTTAAGTTTTATTGCCTTAAAATGATTATGGGCACTGCATTCGTATAAACGCCAGCAGAGTAAAAAAAAATATATTTTTTTTTTTGTTATATTTAATTACTAGCAGTTTATTTTTTTCTACTCTTAATTATTTTGCTATTTTTTAACTTAATTTTCTTATAGTTTCTAAGTTTTATTGTTCAAAACAGAAAAAAATATATATATTTTTTTTAATTTAATTTCATTTTTAGAATTTATTTTGCCTATTTCTTCTTTCTTTAATTTTGTTTATTTTTCTTTTGTTAATTTCATTACCTTATAATTTTTATATTATCGTTTTAAAGGGAAAACATATATTTGTTTTCTTTGATTAAATTTTTAGGGACTTATTATTTTTTATTTATTTATTATTTTTCTTGTTTTAATTTAATTTTCTTATAACTTTTAGATTTTATTGATTAGGAAAGAAAACTATTTTTTTAATTTCATTAAATTTCTAGAAACTTAATTCATTTATTTCTTCGTTTTTAATCTAATTTGTTTTTCTTATGTTAATTTTATTTTCTTTCAGTTTTTATATTTTACTAATTAAAAAACAAAAACATTTTATTTTATTTAATTTAATTTTTAAGATCTTATTTTATACCTTTTTTTAATTTTTTACTTCTTTTAATTATTATTTTTTTTTAGTTTTAAAATTTCGTTTTAAAAACAAAAATTCTTTCTTTTTAATTGTATTTAGTTTTTCAATGGTACTTTCTTCTTTTTCGAAAAAATGATTTTCTAATTATATTTTCGATTTTTCTGTTAAAAACATAAAAAATTTAATAAGATATTATAAATTTTTGCTTTATTTTTATGTAACATACTTTTATTTATTTTTTATTTAATTCTCTTTTATTTATTAGGACCTATTGTTTTGAAAAGAAAGAAAATATATATTTTTTTATTTAATTTATTTTTTTTAAAAACCTATTATTAAAAGGTCAGATTTTTCAATTAGTCTTTTGGAAGATAAATAGTAAAAAGCTTTCGACATAGTTGCCAGGATTGGCAATTGTCGTACGAAAAACTTTCACTTTTCGAAAGACTGTGGTGAGTTGAAAGACAGTGGCCAAATCGGAATAGCCTATCGTAAACAAATTTCTCGAACTATTTAATTAAACCATCGAAGACTAACTAAATGCTTATTTCGTTGAAAAGTTTTAATAGCTTGGGCTATATTTTTTCAACAAAGTCCGAAATCCGCTACACAGTTCAGCGTTAACTAAGCCCTTCACACTTTAGGAGAAAGCGAATGGCCGTAAAACAAAACCGTTTTATTGTCTAGTTTTCACTGCCACATTTTCAAAGTACTAGTAAATCCAGCAGCACATTTTTGTTCTGGCAATATTAAACATCAAAGTATGCATGTTTGTATCTTCAATAGCTTTAGTTTCGCGTGTCGCGCAGACGATTATCCTTGAAAGCTTAGGCAGGCATGAAATTGGAAGCGACACGAAACAAGGCTAAAAGGCTATAGCTGGGAGAATACACCAAAAAACAACAGCAACAAAATGGTAGAGTAAAATCAAAATAAATATGAAGAAGTAAATAAAAAAGAGAATGAAACATGAAACATGAAACATGAAAAGCGCAAGCACGCAAATATAGTCCCAAAAAAGGAACAACTAGCAGACGCAGCTATTAAAATCAGAAGCAGAAAAAAACTAGAATAAAAATCACAGCATTTAAACCTTTCTTTTATCTTCACAACACACTTTCAT